AGTACTAAGAAAATTTAATTTTCTAGGAATTACAATAATTGTTCAATTCATGCGATGTACCATAATTTCTGACCCTATGCACGTGTGCTATAGAAAATGAGAGTTTGCCCACCACCGATTTATATTTAAATTTTATCTTTATATTCTAACATTTTGTCTGATACTGTTGATTAAAAAGAAACAAAAGGAAAGGTTAGGCACGTTTATACCACCTGCCTTTACAGAGGTTCAACGCCTGAGCTTAAAATATAGATTGGGAAACTCCAGCGTTGGCAAAGGCTACTAGAGTACCGTACTATCTATCGCAACACTCCCCACTTTATTATTCCACCAGAAATCTACCCATATTGCTTTATTAGATGGAACTGGCAGCTTCGGCAGGGTTAATTTTCTTTCATTTTTGGTGCCTTGTAATTAATATTTGAAGCCATCGCTTCTACGCCAGTTGTTAAGATTCTATCCAGCTTTTCTTGAGCTGCACTCCTTCGGGTAGGGGCTCCAACATTGATCCTCTACCAGTCGAGCATCCAAGCAGGAAATGATTCGTCAATGGTTGTCAATTTCAATGTGTCAATGATTTCTCGTTTTCGTCTTCCACGTCTTGCGCGTCTTCCCAGCTAGGGGAAAAGTTCGCATTAATTTTTCCCGAGTTTCCAGAGGCGTAAAGTAGTCCAAATTAACTAAGTAAGTAAAGTAGTCCGCTCTTTCTAAAGTAGGTAAAGGGGCTATGAACCCTATTATACGGTGGTTTTGGGACCGCCCGTCAAATTATGCATAATTGGCAGCTCTAATATCCAAAAATGTTGTAGTCTTCGTTGACCACGGTCTTGTGGTTAACGTCCACAAATCTTTGAATCTTCGAATCATCTTTGCTTATCCAGCTTGAAAAAAAAATCCAATTTGCGTATAAAAAATTATTCTTTGTCTATGTTTTTCCCGTCCAACATAGTCGCTTTTCCGCCTGGTAGTACTTTGCCTGAGCGTACGACCTCAAAAAACTTTCCGCAACCGGCAGATTTTCTCATGACGACTGATTTACGATGTCGGATGTCCGATATATAAATATCACCCTAAAAAACTTGATTTATTAAAAAAAAAACAGACGGGACTTTTTTGCGCTTAAAAATTCTTATAGGCGTAATTTTAAGCCGATTCAACAATTTTCGTTTTTAATAGTTTTGGACTGTAGCTTTTGAAAAAAGAATAGATTTTTAATTTTCTTTAAACAAAAGAGAAAATATTTTTTATACAAAAAACTGAAAAATGAAAAAAAAACAATAAAATTTTCTAATTTTATTCGTGTGTTTCTGATTTTGACGACATTTTTTCTCATTGTTTTAAATTATGCAAATTGTTGAAGTTATTCCGCTTTTCCCGAAAAAAGTCAATGCAACCTTGCGAGCCCTCCAGAGCGCCCTTCCATTGCGCTTGTTTCTTTCTTTTACACACTGTTACTCCGGAGTTTTAAAAGCTACCCGCTAGCATAATCAAATTTTATTATTTACTTGTGCTTTATTTGTGGAAAAAATGGTGGAAAAATTCATTAAAACGCAATCTAATGACAAATTTAATTCATAGTATGGTGTTTTACCCCTATAATTTAAACTTTATTCAATACATTTTGTTTTATACTTTTATTCCGAATTCGGACAAAGCTTGATAATCACAAAGCCTGAAAAATCAATATCAATTTCAAAACTGTTAAAAAAATACCTACTCTTGAGTAGGCCTACTGTATAAAAGGCAAATGATTTTACTAGGGTTTTACAAAAATCTTTATTTTACTATATTATATTTACTATTTACTATATTTACTATTTTTACTTTATTTTTTCACGCATAGAAAACTTGGTCAAAGCCGGAAATCTTTAGCTCCGAAGTTTTTCCAAGTAATCACACAACTTTTAGACATGATAGACCTCTGCGAAGGGGTAGAGGAGTCCTCATTTCGGTAGACTCCAATCTTCTTTTCGAAGAGGTAAAGTCACAAGAGTTTGTGATATAGAATTTATTTGCATTAAATAAATTTTAATGCCCACATACTGGCATCACTTGTCCGCTTTTCAATCCGTTTCGAAATTTATATTCAATTATGAACAGCTGATAGCTCTGAGTGACTTTAATATCCCAGAACTCACGTGGTCTAATTGAAATCATTTTCCCTCCTTATTACTTATCACGCACCACGACTTCGCCGCGGAAATATTTGAAATGTCACTCGGTCAAGAATTTTTTTGTCTCGGATACAGAGAGAATTACGCTTTCCAGATCGTTGACGAATAATTAATTAATTCTTTATTTATTTTTTGTTAGGATTGAATTATAATGGTTCCGATCCACTGGTAAGTGAAGACAGAAATATGGCCGTACATAAATTTAATTATTCTTAGACTCAGGCGTGCCATCCGACCGTTTTAAAGGAATGCCAGGCTTATACCAGGCACATATAGCAGGAATAGGGTATATGTATATATATGCCTGGCAGCCGCCGCTGTTTTAGTGTAATGATTATTTATTAGGCTTAAGTATATACAAATCGCTCAGTTGGTCGCAGGCCAAAGCTCTCTCGGCCGCTCGACTTTAAAGGGCCTTTCTTCAGAAATAAAAATCAAGAATAATTTGGTTATATTTATAATAAAAATCTTTAATTACATTTTTTTTTTTCTAATTTTTTCATATTAATAATTTATATTTTCAGGCTCTGGTTTCAATTCGATAGCTTTCAAAGGTGATTTGGGAGCTATAATATATAGTCGGCCGATCCCGGCCGTTACAATTTACATACTGAGTGCAAAGAAAACAGGGGTGTGTGCAAAGTTTCATGTCGATAGCTTTAAAACTGAGAGACTAGTTTGCGTAAAAACAGACAGACGGACATGATCATATCAACTCAGGAGGTGATCCTGATCAAGAATATATATACTTTATAGGGTTGGAGATGTCTCTTTCACTGTGTTGCACACTTTTGGACACAATCATAATACCCTCTGTAAGGGTATAAAAATTAATTACTCCTCATTTGCAACACCTTTGCTCCTTGATCATTTGTCCTTGTCTGCATGGCTTCATTAGGCGTCGCTCCACCACCACTAATGTACTGGAGTGTCATCCTTTGTCATAGTTGGCTTTCGAATAGAATTTCAAACCGATGTTATTTACACAGACTTCAGTAAAGCATTTGAGTAAATTCACTCCTGCTGAGTAAACTGAATCTCCTGGGATTTCTCCTAACGTGAATCTCTAGCTACTTACATAGAAGAACACAAAGACCCTTATTTAAAAGTGTATATTCCCACTACTTATATACTTCCATACATCTAGAGTACATCTGGAGTCCCTCATGGAAGTCATCTTGGCCCGTTATTGCTTACTCTATTTAACGACGTAACGACCCAATCAGTATATCAAACAGTTTAACGAACTTTCTAGTTCTCATGTATGCAGCAACATCATCTGCTTTGTTAAGCAATCTTCATTCCGATCTCGAAAATTTTCAAAAATGGCGTTTAGCGAATTATTTAATAATTAATGGATCAAAAGCTCCAGGCTGCGTATTTGCTCTAGGGAATTGCCATAAAATATTAAATAAGGTTAATGATCTTGGTGTCCTATTAGACTTAAAACTCATATTTGCCTACCATATTTCCACAATTGTTAATAAGGCTTAAGGTGTGCTTGTCTTTTTAAAAAGGTGGTCAAAAGAATTTAAGAACCCCTACATTACTACAAGCTTATTTAGTTCGTTAGTGTGTCCGATACTCGAGTACGGTTTAGGTTGGTAGATTCCTCAATATGGAATACCTCTTAGCTTGGTAAATAACAAATTACTAATAAAACGTTTCTCGAGCACCGCCGGTTGTCTGGGGCTCTAAGCTCTATGTAGAAATGCTAGCTGGTGCACTAATAGGTGCACGAGGCATTTCCAAAATTCTGAAAGACCGCGAAAAAAACCACAAAAATCTCAAAAATCGGATATAGTTTGCCGATCCTTATGAGAATATTATAATATAACCAATTCATTACGATACAAAATCTAAAACAAGTCCCAAAATTCTCTTTTCAAGAAAACTAAAGATATTTTCGTAAAATGTTGGTAAAAACCATTTCCGATCGTTCAGTTATATGGCAGCTATAAGATATAGTCGGCCGATCGATATGAAATTCGGTAGGTCGGTATTCCAAAATAGAATCTGTTCAAAGTTTCAACTTACTGTCTTAAAAAACACGAAAGTTGGGTCATTTCCGATTTTTTGGTTAAATGGCAGCTATAAGATATAGTCCGCCGATCCTTATGAAATTTGGTGGGTCGTATTATTTTGCCAAAAATAGTTTTCATGTAAAATTTGATGAAAAATTCTCTAACTCTAAAAACACCGAAGTTATAGCATTTCCGATCAATCAGTTATATGGCAGTATTAGGACATAGTTATAGGATATGTGCAAAGTTTCAAGCGATAGCTTTAAAACTCAGAGAGAATTATATTCTATTATCTCAGAGAATAGTTCGCGTAGAAACGGAAAGACAGACGGACATGCCCATATCAACTCTGGAGGTGATCCTGATCAAGAATATATATACTTTATAGGGTTGGAGATGTCTCCTTCACTGCTTTGCACACTTTTGACCAAAATTATAATATCCTCTGCAAGGGGATAAGAAATCCTAAAGTTATAGCGTTTCCGATCATCATAGCAGCTGTAGGATATAGTCGACCGACTTATATACTGTGTGCCATAAAAAAGGGTGTGTCCAAAGTTTCAAGTCGTAGAAACAGACAGACGGTTATGCTTATGTCAACTCAGGAGGTGATCCTGATCAAGAAAATATACTTTATAGGGTCGGAGATGTCTCCTTCACTGCGTTGCACACTTTTGGACAAAATTATAAATTAAATAAAGATACTTTAAATAATTTCAAATTGGTTGAAATGCAATTGATAGTAAAATATAAATGAACTTTTTATGATTTTTGTTCTTATATTAATATTAGGAATACAAACTTATTGCATGGTAAGACGCAAATCCCACAACATTTTTCCATTCCGCTTAAATTCTTTTCTGCTTCCCTCATATCGGCGTTAATTTGATCCATTCCTTCTTCAATACGATCCAGTTGCTCTAAAAAAGAAATACACAAAAGTATATTAGGTTTTTTGTGTTTGTATTATTTTTATCTTGTATCTACATAGTCTATACCCGCCCTGCAGTACTTAAGGTATGTCACCCTTCAGGGCCTCTAAGTGAACTCTCTCATAAGACAACTAAATCAGATTGGAATTTCTCAACTTAAAGCAGTGGGGGGCAAAACGCACACATGTCTAAAATTTCAGTGTATGCGTAGCAGTAAAAAACAATGAGAGCAGAGCATTCACTGAGCGAAAAAAACTTAGTATTTTATTTAATTTTTCGTTAAGTCAAAAGCTGGAAAGGGCACTAAAATAGTGTATTTTATTTTAAAAAAAGCTTTGCTTTCAACAGTTCTTAAACAAATGAAAAAACTACGCTTCCCTATCTAAATTTTCCCTAATTGGAGAAAACATTTTCCAACTCAATTTCTGGGAAAATTTGTCTTAGTGGAAATGTATTTTTTTCCCCGTTTTTCCCAGTTTTTTGGCGAAGAAGAACTAGAAATTACAAATCCATAACATTAGTTAATCCGTTTCGTGACCTCCTAAATATGGCACTGCACACCACGAGCGACGGCTTTCGTATTTTTAAAGTAAGAAAGTTGGGATTTTCTATGGATGCCATTTTTGTCCAATTGATTCGATTTTGTATTATATTTTGTATTGTAACCAGGGACCGTAAATAATGATTATGAGTTTAAAAAAATTGAAGCCCAAAACAGTCTCCAAAAAAATTGAAAAAAATTGTCATAAGTTAAATTTTCATGGCGAATTCAAAAACAAGATAAATTTTTTTTTTCAATTTTTATGAAAAAAATTGATTTTTAATAATTAAAATTAATTTTAATAATAAAAAATTAGTAATAATTATTAAGTATCAATTTTTATATAAAAATTACGCAATAACTTTTATTTTGTAATTTTTATTATATAAATTGGAAAATAAAAATTATTCGATAACTTTTATTTTAAAAATTGAAAGTAAAGATTGAATCTATATATCTTTTGATCCGTTGAAGCCACAACCAATATATATGTATATATATGATCTACACATCAATACCTTTCGGATGGTATATAATAAGTGTGTATATATGTTTATCCGCTTATGTGCCTGTGCAGTATTGGCAGTATTCATAAATAACTATTTATAATAACTATACTATAATAACTAACCCAACTATTGTTGCGGCGGCTGAGAAAGAGTAGTTCATTAAATTATTGAAGACATTGCGAACACCGACTTTCAGGTAAGATTTCCAAAAGATTAATTATTTTAATAATAAAAAAATAATAAAACATATACTACATTAAGACTAGCAATTGCTGCAACATCGTTACCGCTGCCCATAAATGATGTGCCAACAAGGTGGAGCTGGAGCTGGAGCCGATATCCGTGGCTACCAAAAAATTGCAGAGCGAACAGCTTTATTTTGGCGACTTTTTCAAGCTTTTGTTGGAGACGAAACTCATTATTAATTCAATTCAACTAATAAATTGTTGTAATTTTATCCACGCTTCAATAATTTAATGAACTACTCTTTCTCAGCCGCCGCAACAATAGTTGGGTTAGTTATTATAGTATAGTTATTATAAATAGTTATTTATGAATACTGCCAATACTGCACAGGCACATAAGCGGATAAACATACATATATACACACTTATTATATACCATCTGAAAGGTACGGTAAAAAACCATTTTACTGCCCTCTAAAATATTAAGAAAAGGAAATAAAACACATCCGCCTTAAAGTTTTCATTGCTTTGGGTGGAGCTAATGCAAAACCAAACAATTACAAAAAAATATATACGTTTTTTTATTTTTAAGTTACTTTTTAAATTATAAAGTTTATTTGCTTTCCAACAAGGTAGTTTTAGCATTTTGTTGACTTGGACTATAACGTCATCTTATTAGAATCTCAAGTCTTTCTTTGACTCCATTTGAGGAACTTTGGAACGACTTTCTTAAGTCAATGACATAACAGCATCTCGATTCTGTCGCATAACTCGCCGTGAGACATGTGTTAACAACTGCACACATCGTTCGGTGCCCTGTATGTGCGATGGAATTGCCGGATCTGGCAGTGGTATTTTAGCAGAATTGATGTATTCCAACAAGTGATCAAGTGGGATGAACAAAACAATCCAAAACAGTGCATTCTTCGCCCATACAGAAAATATTTTGTTAACAATGCTTTTCGATGAAAGAAAAACAGTTCGCGAAAGTGCAATAAATAAAATTATGTATTATCGCGAGAAATTATATGACCCAACTAAATTTAGAACTTATAAAAAGAATCGCATTAATTGCACCGATTATATGCATTTAGTTGACTTGGATAATGACATCTTATTTGAACCTCCATTTACTGCAAACATCCCACTTGATCACTTGTTGGAATACATCAATTCTGCTAAAATACCACTGCCAGATCCGGCAATTCCATCGCACATACAGGGCACCGAACGATGTGTGCAGTTGTTAACACATGTCTCACGGCGAGTTATGCGACAGAATCGAGATGCTGTTATGTCATTGACTTTAGAAAGTCGTTCCAAAGTTCCTCAAATGGAGTCAAAGAAAGACTTCAGATTCTATTAAGATGACGGTATAGTCCAAGTCAAGAAAATGCAAAAACTACCTACTTGTTTGAAAGCAAATAAACTTTATAATAAAAAATTAAATTAAATTCCGCCTTTTATCATGCCACGCCTACTTTTATTTAGTTGCTTAAAATGCCTTTGAATATATATTTAATTTTTCCGATCGATACCGTACTTCGTTTAAAAGTTACAGACTCATTGATCCAACTTTCATATATGAGGCTAAGTACATGGCTAGTTTGACTCTTTCTTTAGAAATTAAAAATAATTTATAAGTTAAATAAATTAAAAAAAAAATTATAAAATTTGTTGTAAAAAGATGAATCAAAATTGACTCCAAAATAATTGGAAAATGCGTACGTTTTTTTTTAAATACATTAAAATGTCTTAAATACCTCGAAATAACTTATGTACCTCATAGTGCAATCTTGAAGCTTCTCGGCGCGAGCTAGGAATTCATTTTAGACACATGGTTTCTTGGTGAAATTTTCTTAGAATTCTTCGTAGATTCCGATTATGGGGGACGATTTTCAGGATTTTTTGGACAGGAACAAATTGACCCGCCCTAATATATATTCTTGATCAGGATCACCTTCTGAGTTGATATGAGCATGTCTCTCAGTTTTAAAGCTATTGACTTGAAACTTTGCAGACATCCTTCTTTCCTTTTTCTTTCACCTTTTGCACATAGTATATACAGTAGCGGACAATGAAATCCGGACTGGAAAAAAATACTACTTTTTTAGTTTTTTTTCAGCCAGCGTTTACTTTAGAGTACAATTTTTTTAAGGCAATGAAATTAATATTAGTTTTCAATGAAAGTTTTTATTATTATATTTTTATAACAGACACTTTTCACTGTCAAATTAATTCTCTTATTTTTTTGGGTTTCTTTTTATGTATTTTAACTTTTAAAATAGGAATCATATTATCAAAAGAATCAAAATAGGAAAAAATATTGAATCGGATAGGAATGTTGATATTCGATTTTTCTGGAAATAAAAAATTATTATTATATTAAATAAAATATTATAAATTAAAAAATAAATACTAGAAATTTAAAGCTTTAATTATCGTTTAAACAAATCCTTAAAGAATTAACAAAAAAATATCCCTTTTTTTTTGCACGATTGCAAGGACCTGAGTCGTCCTGAAAGATTATAATTGGGGCACGAAAAAGATGCTCCTCCATTGAGGGTAGAAGGTGACGATTCAGAACACCTTAAAACTTTTCGGTGTTCACAGTTCCATCAATTAATGCCAGATCACCAACGCCATAGTAAGAAAAGCATCCCCGGACCATTCAGCATGCTCCTTGCCTGACCGTTCGCAGTAAGCAATTATTTTTGAAGCATTTGTCGCAGTTGGGGCGCACGTAGGTTATACTAAGCCAAATGGATTATTTTCGTGTCTTTAGAAAAAATGGCGTTTCGCCAATCATGTTCAGTCCAAGATTCGTGCATTTTGACCCACTGTAGCCTTGCGGTCAAGACTAGGTTTTTCGCCGGCCATAAAGTCCTGCCTCCTCAATGTTCCTTCGAACGGTTCGAGTGCTTATTTCGATTCGACTGGTAAAACTTACTTCTTACATGTTTTGCTGATTTGAAACGATCAAATCAGAGGATCGAATCCTTTTACGTCATGTTTAATCGTGAAAGGATTCGATTCTCGTGGTCTTCTCAGTTGGTCTTCTTTTTCTTTCCTGATCCTGGCAATTGCTTTAGAGTTCTGGTTTACTCAAAATTTTGTAGGAAATCCTCGAAAGAAGACTTAACAAATACAACTTTAGAGCATATTCCTCGAAAGCTTAAGATTTTCGATTGTAAGGCTAATATGGCCCCTTGGACATTTTCAGTCAATTTCGACTTATTTAAAAAAAAAAAATTTTTTTCTACACTTTCAATTTCAACACTAATGCAAAGTTCACATTTAGTACTTAGGTGTCCGGATTTCGTTGTAAGTCGGAACGGCCGGTATCGGCCTGATCAGAAATCCTTTAACTTTGTTGTTTTTTCAGTTAGAGAGTTCAGATATTGCATGAGTGCTATTTTTTGCAAAATAACATGACAAACAAAATTTAGACTTAATTTTTTATTGTATTAAATTGGTTATATTATGATATTCTTATAAGAATAGACCAACTACATCCGATGTTTCCGATTTTAACTGCAAGGGTAAATTAACTTCGGCTCCGCCTCAAGTTAGCTTTCTTTTCTTGTTTTTGGGTAAAATAGCAACTTAATTTATTAACCTGTCGTTTCATATCAATCTAAAACACAAGTGCACCTAAAAGTTTAGGCGCAGATGCTCTACCAAAGCTTTAAAAATCGCATGCGCTACAAAGAAGAATAAAGCGCAAACGGATTCAGGGGAATCAAAGATGAA